CTTGAATTCAGTTGGAATCTTGATATTCAGAAGTAATTCATCCATTCATATCTCTTCTTGTATATTCCATTATCGTTTATTTGCTTATCCTGTTTGATGTGATTTCGTGTGAGAAATGAACTTTTTTTTCAAATCTTTGTACCTACAAAATAAAATTTTTTATAATATAAATGACTATGTGAATCATTGAAAGATATTTTTTTTCTATACGAAGAATATGAAAAAAGTGAACTGAATCAATATCAGTTTGTTGAGTTTTTAACAAAATTTTTTATTTGAACCATGTCGTGAAAACTTCAGAATGTTAAAAAAAAACAGTAAAGACAAAGGAATAAAGTCAAACGCATAACTAAATGAATAAAGAATCGTTAAAATCCATATACAGATATTTCAAAGCTATGTCAGGGATATTTTCAGATCAGTATTGCGGTAAGTGATAATGGAATAATGTGTGAATCATGTTCTCATTGAGATCCTTCAGGCTTCAAATCTAAATCAAAATCCAAGTGATCCAACAAATAAAGTGCATTGTGCTTGAAACGGGCGATCAAATCCTATAAAATATATTATGTAAAAATTTCGAGAAATTAAAATACTTCATTTCTTTTTCTCCATTCGGCATAAGTTTCCTTGACCAAGCTTTCTTCGTCAATCAAGTTTCTGAGTTCAAAAACTCCAGTCTCTATGGCCCAAACGGAATCATCTGCGCTTGTAGCGAAATAACGTTTCAGTTCTGTGAACTGTTGTGGAGTTCGTTTAATTAGAGCATTAGCAATTTGAGTTCGGCTCCAACGAAGTTTCTTGATAATTTTAACATTGACAGGCTTCCGCGAATCAGTACGTGGAACTGGTTTTTTTGGTGCTTGTATTTGAGTTTGAGCTTGAGTTTGGGCTTGAGCTTGGGCTTGAGCTTGAGTTTGATTTTGAGCTTGAATTTGAGCCTTTCTAGCTTCTCTAGCTCTTCTTGCTTCAGCGTATTTAGACGGTGAGGTGTTTCTATTGTTTCTTAAAGGCTTCGGAGGATAAGGATTCACACCCATCAACTCTTTGCCGCCAATCGTTGTCAGACGGTTTAATGTTGACCATTCAGCAGAAGTTTGCGTTAGCGCAGTGGAAGCACCCATATAAGACGTTCCTTTCATGACAGGCATTCTATGAACAGGAGGAGGTTTTGGCTTAGCAGCTGATGGAACTGGTTGAGCGGAACCTTGTTTCGATGCAGTTTTTAGATCGTTTAATGGAACGGGCAACTGACACGGAACTCCATGACTGATAAACACTGACGTTAGCTTTTTAGCTAGAGTTTCAGCGATCAAACTTTCCATGCTGAAATCACAGTAGATGTACGAAAGTCTTACAACAACAAAAAATACTCTAGAGCTTCGGCGTTCATTGCTTCCCTCATCTTGCGATCAATATCTTGCTGGCCATTACTACTGCTCGAAGTTTCGGCAGAAACATTATGTCTGACTTTCTTCTGTGATACTTCAATGCAACTACTTAGAGGTCTCGAATTTACCGATTTGGGGCTAGACAGATCTTCATCAGCTGGGTTGTGGTGGATCGAAAGTTTTTTGAGGCTACCTAAAAATAACAAATTTTACATATCTCAAAGCTTCCAACCTTCTAGTTGCGAAGCAATCGACACAGGTTTTTCAGTTTCTTGGTTCTCTTCCCTGACTGCACTTTCGTTTTCAATTCCGTCTACAAATGCATCACATGCTTGATATTCACTAGTGTTCGGCAATAATTGATTAGCGACCGCATTGCGAGCACTTTCTCCATAGTTTCTTTCAATGAAGTCCAAATATTCCAATTTTTTCTCCTCGTTATCACTAACGCTGTAGTAATCGTCGTCAGGTCCTTTGCTATATTTAAGCAGGGGTGGCATAGGGAACGGTATATAAACCGTGTTACCGAACGGATTGTCCTCGGATTGATTTTCTGGTGGCAAGACGTTGTTCGCTCGTTCTATTTCAGCATTTACTATTCGACTTTGGAATTGATCGAAAGCTTCGGCGAGCTGATTTCCACGCGAGTCTTCAGAACTAAACTGTGTATTAAGATCTTCATCTGCACCGTGTGAAGGCATCACATGAATTGGTGGTGGTGGTGGTCGAGAGGTCATACTAGGTGGAGCCGGCAAATAATGAGTAGAGTGAGTATGAGTTACTGGTTCGTCTTTTGGAATAATGAAATTACTTGAAATCGGGGTGAAAGAACCCTGTTGTTCTACCTCAGTGGCTCTACGTATGCAATGAGTTATATACATAGCCCTGACCAACTGATCTGTTTGGCGCTCAGTCAGCAGCCCAGCAGAGAAAGCAGCAGCATTAGCGGCAGCTGTAGCAGCAGCGGTTGGAGTAGCATCAGTACTTGGACTATTCACGCATGGAGCTTGAGCTTTTGATTTATGTGTTGGTTCCTTAGACACATTTTTTGGAGTGACCGTTGACTTTGAATGGCCACCTCCATTTGGCTCAGCATCAGTTGGAGTCATCTCACCATTGATAACTTTGCAATAAAGTTCCTCCGGAACTGGATGAGACACCCAATTTGCATCTATCCAACACAAACCACTCTCTGTATTCATAATCATCCCTCTATCATTGTTATCGGGTAACAAGTTTCGCTTGTATGGATGAATATATTCCATATTAGAATCATCTTCGAATGGGAACGGAATTTGCAACTTCTTTCCTTTGATTTTGAAATATGGCTTCGCAGTATTCTTCTTAAACTCGAATAAACCAGTCCAATCAAAAAGACCCTGAAGAGCTAAGGTTTAGGATAATGATTATAAATCATTCTTACGATAGTCTCATCCAATTCTTTGTTGTGAACCCAATATCGGTTCATTAATGTCAAAAAAAGTTCTAAGAACTGAGTTCCTTTCGATTTTGTGCCATCTCTTGAAAGAAATCAGTTAAATTGCCAATAAAGATATCTAGCCTACTTTTTCAAATTGTCTAATACTAATTTATTACGCAAGCCAAGCATTTGACTCTGAACTGGCCTGGAAAAATAACTGATAATGTTGGCGGCTTGATAGAAACTAACCTAGGATATGAAAGAAATAGTTTTAGGTAATCCAAAATAATAGATAATGAGATCAAATTTGTCATGGAGTTCACTTTAATAATAGAAAGAGCTAATAAACGCCTGAAACAACGAAGTTCATAAGAGTTTTCAACTGAGAACGAACTCGTAGAGATCAGAAACATCTTCGCTTTCCACCAACTTACAAATCATTGGAAAAGGTATTTTCTGAGAAACGACATGAAAATTAACTAAGATATTAGTAAGTACCTCAAAAACATTGAGAGAAAATGTCTTTTCAAAAAAAAATAATTCGGGATCTACATGAAACTCCAGAACGTCGTCTCCGAGCACCAAGTTCTGAATAATTTTTTACCTGTTGACCAAAGAATAAAGACAAACCGCGCTTGGGAAATTCATTTTTTTCGTATAAAACCTCTTTATGAAACGTATATCATCTAATGGGCAACATCTGATACGTTAAGTGAATACAGTACATATGAATATTTAAAAGACTTACGATACTCCTTCCTCGGGGATAACAAAATGTTTCGTTCTACACTTTCTACATACAGGCTGCATTTCTCTCTCTTGTCGGAGCTTTTCTTGCATGACACTAGAATTCAAAAAAAAAGTCGTGTTCAAAAAAATTTTGAAATACTCACTGCATAGCCCGCGAAAAGTGAGACATGGTCCCTTTCTCCAGTCTTCTAACCACCTATAACTGAAACTAATGAAATATAGTTCTCATATCATGAAAATATATATAATAATTAACAAAAACAAAAAAAAGAAAAGCATTTTTGCATGGAAAAGCACAGGACGCAATAAGCCGCGAGCGGCTCGCGTCGCGTGCTCCCTGATGCGGACGCGACGCGTTGTAAACACAGTGCATTAAATTATTGAACCAGGTCATGATTGTGCATCATTTTCATTAACTACACTTGTGTTATTATGTTGCTTCATATCTTCTATTAAAGAACTTATAAAAACTTTTACTTCATTTATTTTATCAGTCATTATTAACTGGCAAACTTAGCATATTGATATTATTTATCCAGTATAATTACATTGCTAAAGATATTTAACGAAATTGATTTCTAAGATAATAGTGACTTCATTTGTTTTCCAGGTAGCATTAGTAATGATGGTTGATGAGGACTTTAACGATGTGAGTGGTTCTTCTGGACCGAAATCTTCCTTTGAAAATGTATCAACTAACTTGGAACATACTCACCCAAATACAGCAACACTCAAAAGAAGTAAACCCACAAAAGGTTCATATGAGGATGGGTCTGATAATGTGCCTCCTGAGATGAAAATTTATCGTTATATGGATCATAGTCAAATCCAAGAAATCTTGAGAAATGGCGAGGTAACATTTTTTGTTTTTATTTATACACTGTCTACAATATTATTGAATATTGCTTATTTTATCTTCATATTTTAGATAGAACCACAGGAAACCGTTGATAATTATCGGCTTCTTGATTTGCCTCCACCATCACCACTCTTTCCTAATGATGAAAGATCATTCATACTCAACAAAATGATTGTGCAAGCTGATGAAAACCCTCCAGAAGTACAGTATATAGAAAATAAAGGTTTATTTTTATAATAGAATTATAAATCTGATACCAGCATGAGTTTAGACAGACATAACGAAATACATGTCGTGATAAATGAAGATGACTACCTCGAAATGGTGTTGGACTTTCATGTTCAAAGGGAATGTGTGGATAGCTTGAAGTTTGCGCTTCAAACAAATTTCCAAATATGAATTTTTTTTAGACATGAGCTCAAAATGAGAAGGAATGGACTCTCTGTGCACAAAGAAGTTGTGGAATTAGGATGTTTTATTCCAAGAACTTCTAGATACCTCTTCCCAGGCTATCACTCCAAGTGCCCGTACAGTAAGTTGAACATCGTTGAGTTCCATTGAAACTTGATTTTTTCAGTTGGACGAGGAAACTTAGGAGATTTTGATATTGTATCTAAAATCACAAACTCTAAAGGAGAAGTTATCGTGAGATGGTGCTGGAACATGACAATATTGAAAGGTGTGGGGTTGCATCCCTCACCTCCTCCCAGGTTTTATTTGAATGCACGTTTAAAAGAGTTAATTTTGAAAGTGTACGAAGGAGACGAAGATTTTGATGAGGATTATAGAAATAACTTAGGTTATCCGTATTTTTTGAAACACCATGATAAGGCTGTCCAATTTGATCAAATAAGTCTAGGGGACGAAGCAGACGTAGAAGACGATTATGAAGAGATAGTAGGAAAGAGAAGAATGAGAAAAGAAATAATTAAAGAAGCTCTTATTAAAAAGAAAATGGAGGAGTTAGAAATAGTCAAAGAGGCTTCTGTTGAAAAAGAAGAAAAAAGTGAAGAAATGGTTAAAGAAGCTTATTCTGAAGAAGAAAAAACTGATATAGGCACAGTTAAAGAAAGTTCTGTCGAACAAGAGAGTGAGAATGATGAAGTGATGGAGGAAGTTTTTGTTGAAAATGACAGAAAGGATGAAGAAGTGACTAAAGAAATTTTGGTTGAACCAGTAAAAGATAATGATGAAGTGATGGAGGAAATTTTTGCTCAACAAGAAACAAATGATGAAGAAGTGACTAAAGAACTTTTTGTGGAACCAGAACGAGGTAATGATGAAGTGATGGAGGACTTTTTTGTTCAACAAGAAAGATATGATGAAGACGTAACGAAAGAAACTTTTGTTGAACAAGAAAGATATGATGAAGACGTAACGAAAGAGACTTTTGTTGAACAAGAAAGAAATGATGAAGAAGTGACGAACGGAATTTTTGTTGAAGAAAGAAATGATGAAGAAGTGACGAACGGAATTTTTGTTGAAGAAAGAAATGATGGAGAAGTGACGAACGGAATTTTTGTTGAACAAGAAAGATATGATGACGAAATTTCGAACGAAGTTTTTGTTGAACAAAAGTTAGATGATGAAGAAATGCTGAAAGAAGTTTTTGTTGAACCAGAAAGAAATGATGAAGAAGTGATGGAGGACTTTTTTGTTCAACAAGAAAGAGAAGATGAAGAAGTGATGAAGGAATTTTTTGTTGAACCAGAAAGAGATAATGATGATATGATGGAGGACTTTTTTGTTCAACAAGAAAGATATGATGAACAAGTAAATATAGCTGCTTTTGTTGAACCAGAAAATAATTATGTAGGAGTGATGGGAGAATTTTTCGGTGAGCCAGATAGAAATAATGAAGAAGTGATGGGAGAATTCTTTGTTCAACAAGATAGATATGATCACGAAGTACATATAGAACCTTTTGTTGAACAAGGAATAAATTTTGGAGCAATAATAAATGGAGATTTAAATAATCATCTAGAAGATGAAGAAGAAGAAGAAAATTTAGTACAGAACGTAGTAGAAAACGTAGAGGAAGAAGATGAAGAAGAGGAAGAGGAGGATGAGGAGGATGAGGAAGATGAAGATGAGGATGAAGAAGAAGGTGAAGAAAGTGAAGGAAATGATGAAGTCCAGGGAGTAGTTGACGAATCTATGACTGATTCCGAAGGCAGTGGATCAGAGACTGACACTGAGAGTGAGGCGATGGGGTGCGATTATGACTATGATTTTATGCACGTAGAGGTTCCTGATTTCTAATTATTATTTGTGTTTTGATTGTATTTATTCCTTCCTAACTCTGGTATAAGACTACATGAATCTCGTATTTTCTTTGTGTTGTAAATATATTGAAATTGTAATTGTATTAATAAAAGCTTTCATAAAATCTTTAATCGATGGCAGATTGATTATTTAAAGAATTCTTGAGTATTGTTTGTGTCTATTCAATGCAGTTGTATTGGCCAGAAGAGATATGTTAACAGAAAATACATTTAGGTGTGTGCAGCCGTCTTGTACCGTGTTGCTGGTTTCTAGAGGATGACTACACAATCTCTTCAGAACCCTATGTTCGTCTTGGAGAGTAATTTTGTGATATATTGCCTTGCGCCTTTTTCATTTTGAGAATGTGAATAGCCATTTGTGGATCCTTTTTTATAGATATCTTGATGGACGCGAATGCTGCCATTGATTCACATCCATTATTAACCGAACGAAACGTTCGCCAGCAGTTTCGCTGTCTGTTTTACCCCGAGCTATCTTTTGCTCTAGCAGTATCTCGCTAAGATTATGTTGCTGACACTCCGCCAACCATTGCAATATTTTCTTCAGTTTCTCCAATTTTCTTTACGCTTTCTCATGCTTGAATGCTCTATTTTCATGAAAGAGCGTGAGAAGCTAATTGTTTGGTTTAAAAGCTGAAAGATATGTTTAACGATTACACGAATAGCTGACAACTCATTTGCGGCATGTATTCGAAGTTTCATTCTCGTATGTATACTAGCTATTCACATCTGAAATATTCATATCGAGAGAGAATAAGTAAGAAATCTTCCGATAATGCATTCCTATAATGCTGCTTCATTCTCGATAAATGCAACATGCCGGAAATTGTGTACTAGAGCACAATAAATATAATACTTAGTACATTCATTGAATGTTTATGAATATTCATTTTGAATAGTCACTCCTATCATGGCAGCAGTCTCCTCCAATGTGCTGTGATAGCCATCCATATATACGAAGATACTTTTTTATTCATAAAATCTATACATTAGCCTATCAATCAAACAATATTGTATAACTATAATCTATTATTATTCACCAGCTGCTTGATGTTAGCTATCGATATATATACATAGCTTCATCTTACTGGTCTATTTGACTAAAAGTTATAACACAAGCTTTGAAGCAGAGCAGACTGACGGGAGAAGTGAAAGAAGATGTGAGTAATAGCTCAAATGTTAATGAGTCAATAACCAAGGTATTTATATTGCCATCCTAGAGAACTGTCGTACGAGTATCCCAATGAGTGTAAACTTTATGAGAAACTTCCTCGTTTTTGCAATATCTTCACTTAGACAGAATATTTCCGACAAACAAAGATGAATACTTCATAATAGTATCTTTTCTTTTGATTATAGTTCTTATGACCTAATTCGCACAAGAAATTTTCCAGCAAAAAAATGTCTTTTTCCTATTCTTTTTAGTGCGGTAATTCCGAAATTTAGTTGAGAAATCAGGACAAATTCATTTGGCGTTCTTGACCTAGATGGTCGTCCTTGGGAATTGGTAGATGTGAGAAAAACTGAAGGTTTCTTTCATCTTCTGATTAAGATAAATACATTCCATTTAATAATGGGAGGTATATGGTTCCTTGAGAGATGCGTAATTGATCAACTGATAACAAAAAATTTGGATAGAATGTGGAAATTTCAATAAAAAATATGTGTTGATAGTATTGTATAGAAGTGTGCTCCATTGCTATACCACCTGATACTTTTATTATTTCAGAACCGTTTTGTTAATGTAGTATTGATCAAGTATGTTTACACTACAACTTATTCCAAGAGAGATTGTTTACACAAGATGAGGTCAAAGTCATAACTCACCCTGTGTCGGAAAGGTCATCACGCGCGCCATTATTCGCGTTGCGGATGCGTTTGCGTCGAACTGCAAAACCAATCGCGCGCGTAGGCGTGTCTTCCAACTACCAATAATGAGCAGATAGATTCAGATCGATCTGTACAACCATTAGTCCATCATTCTTCCCCGAACCGAGATGAGGATCGCTTGTATTATTCTTCTGGCTGTTGGAGCTTTCGCTGCCACAATTGAAGAAGAGGAGAATGTTATTGTTTTAACTAAGGTTAGTCTTTAATAGTGTTTGCATAGTTGTACATTAATTGTAATTGTATCAATTTAATGCTACGTCATCATTGTATGAATCCTTATGACACGTTGCTTTAGGATAACTTCGATGAAGTCATCAACGGAAATGAGTTTGTCTTAGCCGAGTTCTACGCTCCATGGTGCGGTCACTGCAAAGTATGTATTTTGTTGTTGTTGTTATTTTCATAATTTTGTTTATAGGCTTTAGCCCCAGAATATGCCAAGGCTGCCACTCAACTCAAGGAAGAAGGATCCGATATCAAGTTGGCCAAGTTGGACGCTACCATCCACGGAGATGTTGCCAGCAAATTCGAGGTACATTTTTGCTTTTTTTCAGGCGTTTTTCAATGTGGAACTTCAGATTCGCGGATACCCAACCCTCAAGCTCTTCCGCAACGGAAAGGCTTCTGAATACACCGGAGGACGTGATGCCGCTTCTATCATCGGATGGTTGAAGAAGAAGACTGGACCAGTTGCCAAGACCCTTTCTACCGAAAACAGCGTCAAGGAATTGCAAGAGTCAGCTGATGTCGTTATCATTGGTTATTTCAAGGTAAACAAAGATAATAGCAGTGACGCATGAACACGTAATGCTTTATAGGATTTGGAATCTAAGGAAGCTAAATTGTTCCTTGAAGTTGCCGCTAGCTTCGATGACATTCCATTCGGAATCTCTTCTGAGACCGCCGTCAGAGATGAACTCCAAATTAAGGCCGATGGAATCGTTCTCTTGAAGAAGTTCGATGATGGACGTGCCGTTTTCGACGAGACTGTTTCCGCCGAAGCCTTGAAGACCTGGATCCAAGCCAACCGTCTCCCACTCGTCTCCGAGTTCACCCAAGAGACCGCTTCCGTTATCTTCGGAGGAGAAATCAAGAACCACAACCTTCTCTTCATCTCCAAGGAATCTGCTGAGTTTGAGAAGCTCGACACTGAATTCAAGAACGCCGCCAAGGAATTCAAGGGACGTGTTCTCTTCGTCTACATCAACACCGATGTTGAAGACAACGCCAGAATCATGGAATTCTTCGGATTAAGAAAGGACGATCTCCCAGCCATCCGTTTGATCTCACTTGAAGAGGATATGTCCAAGTTCAAGCCAGACTTCGCTGAAATCACCACCGAAAACATCGTCAAGTTCACTCAATCATACCTCGACGGACAACTCAAGCCACACTTGATGTCTGAAGATATCCCAGAGGATTGGGACAAGAGCCCAGTTAAGACTCTCGTCGGAAAGAACTTCGATTCCGTAAGTTTTTATAGGATTGAAATTGATTTTTATCATTACTTCTACAGGTAGCCAGAGATCAATCTAAGAATGTCCTCGTCGAGTTCTACGCTCCATGGTGCGGACACTGCAAGCAATTGGTTCCAACCTGGGACAAGCTCGGAGAGAAGTACGCTGACCATGAAAACATTGTTATCGCCAAGATGGACTCCACTGCCAACGAGGTAATATCTTATAATAGCTTCGTGCATTTATACTATTTATTCAGATCGAAGACGTCAAGATCCAATCTTTCCCAACTATCAAGTTCTTCCCAGCTGGATCCAACAAAGTTATCGACTACACCGGAGATAGAACATTAGAAGGATTCTCCAAGTTCCTCGAGACCAACGGAAAGGACGGAGCTGGACCATCTGATGATGATAAGGCTTCAGAAGAAGGAGAGGGTCATACTGAATTATAAAAAGCTAATTTATTGAATTGTTTTTATTATGTTGTTGGCTATACACTTGTCTGAAACTTATTTTATAATAAAATGCTACATAGCTACGTGTATCCTATTGTTGTTTACTGGGAAATAAAGAGAAAGGTTTTCTAATAAGTGTCTTTGTCTGTTGTCTTTCCTATGTATGACAATAAATATTAAAAGTGCAATTGAGTGTACTGTTGAAGTGGCAATATGTGAACGTGATTTTTCTACGCTTTCGAGTAATCCGCATCCAGAATCCTGACCCCTATGCTAGATATTTGACAGTTCAAGGCAGATGACCCCCCTCTCTCTTGGTTGACCTTGATCTATTCAAATAGTTTCAGTAAACTAAGTATACAAGGTCAAATCTTTTGGTGTCGTGACCTCTCAACCAATGCCGGGTTTTAACGCACCGCTATTCTTATCGCAGATGACATTGACAATTCTCAGTTGCCCCAATTTTTGTGTCATCCCAAGACCTATTGATGCAAAGACGATTATTGTTGAGGGGTTGTGAATAATGCATTGTAGTAGACGCAAGAAAGTAGAACAGCTGAAATTACCCTGTAATTTGCATATTTAGCTATAATTGGTGTTCCTTTTCTGCCCAAGCTCGTTCAGCCTATTCCCTCCTCGAAACTGTAATCCTCTACCGCCCAATCCTCTAGACACACCTTAAGAATCATATTTATTTTTTTTCATAAACATTCTCTACGACATCACAGAAAAATATCACAAATGGAATAAGGATAAAGAAAAAACAATAGATATTAAAAAATCTCAGAAATGTTTCAGTTCTCGGGAAACAAAAAAAAATAACTGAAAACGAAAACTATGTTCAAAAATTAAAATTAAATGCATTAAACGAAAAATTTGGTTATTTTGAGAAACGACGTAATAATCTGTCTCTGCTCTCTAAAGGTAACTGGGCAATCATTCTGAAAATTGTTTGCTTGAATACATGCATGTTGGTGCAAAAAGCGTACCTTTCAATAGATAATTCACGAATTGTATCGATTTCGTGGCAGAAGCTCGAATCACTGATGTACTTTTCAACAACTTCCAATTGCTGCTTGAGCGTTAATGAAGTGCTTCCTGATTTATATTGTTCTAATTCATTACTAAGCCATGTGTAAGCATCGTTCCTTGTAACATCGGGAGAAACTTCTATGTATCTGCAAAAGTATTTTCGATGAAAGCAAAGCTTTTTATGATATCTTACCTTTCCACAAGTCTTGTTTTGGCCATTTCAAGTTTAAATAGATTAATAAACATGTTACGAGCATTTTTCAATTCTGTTACATGCTGAACTGCATTCTTGATGTGCATTCTTTCGCAACGATCGTGTAAATCAGCAAACTCAACAGAAATATTTCTGTAGATCTTGCCGAGATCGTGAGCGCGCTTCTTCAATAAGCCATCCAACCTAACGGCTTCTGGAGACTCAGCACCGTTATTCTGGAAGAAATAACAGATTATTTGATATTATACACTTTCGCTTACTCTTATTTCTTCGCTCAATTGGGAATCGAGATGCATCATAATTTCATCGTTTCGCTTTTGTAAAGCAAATAATTTCTCTTTGCGGAACTTGATGCCAACAATCGCGTTTGGTTCCAAGATTCCTCCACGACTCTTTTTGTCAGCAACCATGTGAATGAAGCCAGGATTGATCTGGCTGTCTAACACTGCCCAAGCACCTCCTCGAAGTTCTCCATTACATGGAATGTATACAATGACTGGTTGTTTGTATTGGCGAAGGGCATCGACAATTTGAGCTCCAAACTTCAAAACCATGTCAAACATGTCTATAATTTCAAGTTATTTGACGAAATCGTTTTAAAAAGCGTCACCTTTCTGGCCACCGGAGAATCCACGTAATGAAGCAATGAAGAGCAAAGGAAGGTTTTCTCTGTTGAAGTCGCCAATAACTTCGGCAGTTTTGAAGGCTGAGTCGGGATACCATACTTGACCAGCTTGATGGAATTCGATTTCTTGACTGTTGGGACAGGCAGGGTCGGCTGGGATAACATTCTTCACGTTTCTAAGCTCTGAAGAAACAACTCCAATAGGAACTCCTCCAATTCGTGCTCTTCCAGCTGAAAACACAACACTACTTAATGATAAATCTTAATCTCTTACCAATGATTGTTTTAGCCCATTCCTCCATGATTTCGTCAAAAGATCCAGAGTCACAAATTCCTTTCTGGATTGTAGAGTCTCCAGAGTCGATCAGGTGACGGATGTCGAAGTTTTTGTTTGAATCGGCATCAAAAACGACGTCACGATAATCACTGTCTACTCCGAAGCTACGATAGAAGGGGAAAGGTTCTTTCTTGACTGGTAAGTAGCTCATCCATTTAACAAGCTTACAGACACCTTCGAAGTCATCATCAACAACTGCGTGTGTAACACCGTTCTTGTGCATAATTTGTACACCTCCCAATTGGTTATTGGAAGTATACACCTCTTTACCCAAAAGAGTGTTTAAAGCTGGGGCACCAGTGAGAATGATGTGCGAAGTACGTGATTGAACTATCCTATGAGCGAGTCGAGCAGTGTAAGCTCCGATTCCAACGGAACGTCCAGTAACAAAACAGTATGTAGGAACTTCCTCATAAGACTTTGAGGTTTCACCGGCAATCAAACCAGATCCTTGAAGGTTCTCTACTCCAATGTGTTCAGTGCTTCTTCCAACAACACTCTTAATGCGGAGAAGTCCATTAGGCATTTTCTCGTGTACAATTTGATCTTTCAAGGGATGCTCATCAGAATCTTCAACATACAGGTAGTCAAAGCCTTCGGAAGGATTAGCGGGATCTTTGAATTTGACACGGAATGTTTTGGAAATGTCTTCGGCCAATCCAATGCGGGCACCGGAGTTACAAGATACATTGAGACGAGGCAGTTTATGCTTTCTACTGTACTGACTAGCTAAGCTATAAACTTCATCTTCAGGAATAGCGAAAGAACCAGATTGGAATGTGATATCATTAGCAATAGCTACAACTTTGTATCCTCTTGGCTGCTCGGGTGTGTATAATCTGAAAATATGCGTCAGTTACTACAATCTATATAAAATTCCTTACGTTAAGAGCCAAGCTACCATACCAGATTCATTATTACAGTTGTCAGCCCGAACTTTAAGCTCTTCCTTGTCCACTATGTGGTGGAGCTCTCCATCTTTTACAATAAGTTCTTCTTCATCGAAAAATTTACGGTAATCGCTGTTTGAGAATGCAAGCTTCTGTTTTTCTGACAGTTGACTGTACTGATCGTTAAATACTCTACGATCGTTGACATCTTGACTCTGTTCAGAAGATGCTTTAAGATTTCTCCATTGTTCCAAGCAAGCTCTTCCAAAAAGCGTAGGATAGTCATAAACGTAAGTAGTTCCATTGGCACGAGTAGAAACACGTTTCTTTTCAATTCTCTTGATGCTCTCGTATGAACCAAGGTTGGCATTATAGAGCTTATGAGAAAGTCTTTGTGGTTCGATTTTGAGCTAAAATATGTTGATAGTGTTTCAAGTTATACGAATAAAATTTTACCTGCTTCTCGTGATAAATACCAAATTCAGGTGTAACACCGGTTTCATCTAGGAATTTGACTCTATGTTTAACGTGCCCTCCATTTCGCAACTGAGGTGTTACAATTTCAACTTCTGTCACACGATGCTTGAACAAGATGTCCTTTTGAGATCTAACAGCATTTATATAAGCTTCTTCAAGACTCAATTCATAATCCACAGTGTATGTTTCTGGTAGTTTAGGGAAAGCCACATACAAAAAGATGTGATTGGAAACAAATAATAATCTGGAAAAAAATAGTATCTTTGATGCTTTCTAATTAATAAGTTTACTTATTAAACTTTCGCATGGCAACGTTGATGGCGCCACAAGCGTTATCGATATAATCAACCAAAACATCAGTCACATCGTTCTCACTGAAACAATTTGTGTTATATATTGTACGATTGTAGTTATTCTTACCATTCCTCCAATCGGATTGGAACTTCTACAATTTCTCTGACAAAGAGCTTGGAGAATCGTTTCTCAGACTCATCATCATACTTATACACCCGTAGATTTGACATTCTATCAGATTCTGTCTTGACAGACTTAGGCAATCTCCATAACTCTAATCTTTCAGCACCAATAACATCAATCTGAACAGTTAGTAATGAGAAATTGAACATATATTAGAAGACATACTTGCATGACAGGCTTGTATCTGCAGCAAGCAATGACATGAGCGGTTAAGTTAGGTAATTGAGTTTGAATATTCTTAGCGGAGTTCTCAGCAATGGCAATAATACTATCATCAACTTCATTGTAGAAAGGAAGTTCCTGAACATATAACCAAGATTATTTTAGAAGCTCCAACAATTTTACCTCCAATTGAGCTTCACGGCTTTCATCTGTTCCTAAGTTTTGTTGGAAGTTTCTGGCAACATTAACGAAAATAGCCAAACGGACTTGTTCGTTAGCGAAACGATATTTCAAAGATGAAATCTGAAAGTAGAAACTGTAAAAAAGAACTCTGTTCAAAGAACTTACCAATTTTTGGTGGCCCAGAGCATTTTCGAAGTTGTCTTTGGTAACATTCAATGTAAGAATGGCATAATGTTGATCGGATCCTGCCGAGTTTTTGCCATGGAATTCGAATATTTTGCCGAAATCGACCAATTCAGCTCGTTGAATAGTTGTGACAGATGAATAACGTTGGATATAGGTTCTGATGACGTAATCAGCTAGCTCATTGTCAAAGAAGAATTCGTGAAGAACTTTGTGCATCCAGGGACTCTTTTCCAATACTTCTTTAGGTGAGATACCCAACTTTTGAAGTTCCAAGAATTTCTCACGTAAAACATCTACAGCCTTCTCCACTACGAGAACTTCTTCGTTTTCACGTACTTTGATTGGAACATGGTTAATATCCCAAATAACCTTGTTGAGGAATTTACGATATTTAGTTCGATTGTTCTTGAGCAAGAGATGACGAGCATACTCAGATACGCTATCAAGATGGAACATGTTTCCAATATCTCGGAGTCGTTCAGTCAAGAATGTTACTAAATGCATTCCACGATTCTCGACATGCTTGAGGATAGTCAAAACAAGCTCGTTACGACGTCTGAGTTGAGTGTGAGCATAAATCATTTGAACTACTTTGTCTTTTTGATTTCCAAACTGAAAACAATTTCTTTGTTTGAAACTTCATCCAAATTTGAACTTACTTGTTGGTTAAGAAGAACAACAGCATCATCATATTGTCTTCCTTCGAAGAAACGTTCGCATTCTTTGTAGTTCTCAAGCAACTCGTTCAAAACATATGCCATGTTATGGAGAACACCGCTTTCATATCTGAAAAAATGTTTTTAATGCTTTAACATAGGTAAATTCACCTTTCACAGGTTTCATACAGGTTGGCGCAAACAAGCTTAGAAGTCTCCCACTCTAATGGTGTGAGCTTACTGAAGTATGTTTCCAAGACTCTCTTGATATCACCAAACTTCTTATTGCTAGGTCCGTCGGCAAGAGATTCAATTTCTTTGGCAATGTGACGAGGAAGTCTGTTCAAGATTTTAGACATAGCTGCCTGTAAAAATATATTTTGAGTTGAATGTTAACATCAGAATTAGCTACCTTGACTTGAGCAGTTGGAAGTGTTCTGCTTTCCAGAAGAGTAAAGAGTTGTTCAACCAATGTTTTGGGATTGTAAATATCAGATGGGGGCACAGAACCATTGAGAACATTGTTGCATGTGTCATAGCACTGAGTGTACTGCTTGCATTCAGAAATGTTATCATCTACATCGGAAGGAGATTCCCAATCGGGGAACACCTCCAAGAAAGGCTTTGGTTTGTATTTCTCAGAGTCTTTCTGGTCTGTTAATCGGGCAATGATAGATCCAGGATACAACAGATCTCCTTCTTTAGCTACATACTCAAGACGTCCAGGTGCTTTTTTCACTTCAACGTTGAAAACTAGCTTCATTGATTCAACTTGAGCATATTGAGTTCCGAGAGAGAGATAGTCTCCATTGGCTTTTTTGTATCCTAGGAACTTTCCAGTGTATGGAGATTTCAAGATGCTTGGATCATTGTCTTTTTCAAAAACAATGAGTGATAACCCAATGTACACCTGAAAAATAAAATAAACATATTTCAAGAAATTTTACAACCAACCTTATACTTATCAGACGTTTCTTCAAAATTACACATATAACTTGTTTTATTATGCTGAACAATAGTTCTGCCATCTCCGAGAAGATGAATATTAACCTATAAGATGCATACCACTGAATATATAGTTAGCATATGATATACCTCTGTTTTTCCACCGTTCAATGAAATAAAGTAATTGATGGGTCCACATCTACTGACTGAGACTTGATAGATGTTCATGTCTTTTACAAGATCAAAGAGAATTGTTTCAGTCAGATCTTTGGTAGGAAGGACTTGTCCACGTTCAACAGCGTTTTTGAAGTTGTTGAAAGTTGATGTGATCTTAGCATGACCAATAACAGCACTACTGATTGCTATGATTTCTGATATTGGCAAAGTTTCTTTCTGAAAATTTATTCAATCAGTAATGTACTCATGTATTGAATAACATACCATTGTGATATTGCTGGCGATTCTATTATCCAACCATTGAGTATTAAATTTATTATTAGTGAAATCAGGTTCTTTAAGTAAATCGACCAGATATGCAACTTGCATAGCGAAGGTGGCACGAACTTCAAGTTCTTTCAGAGCTACCAACATTTTTGATACAGCTTCATGTCTGAAAATTGAACTTGAGCTTGTGTTTTGAAAGAAACTGTTACCTAGTTCTTCCAACAGCAAACAAATGACCGAACTGAGAATCAGCGTACTCATGCACTTTTCCAGAACTTGAAATAGAGAAATATCCCCAAACATCGCGAGCAGATCGGAAGTTGAGAGTTTCAACTGAACCTGTTGAAGGACGGAAGAAATCTTTTGGATCCTTAAATGACACAGCTTAAACTGATTTAACGCATTATGCATACTTCTGATGTAATTCTAGCAGCGATACAATGCCTATCTACCACGGTTCTCACTAAATCGTCTGGCAATGGTGTATCTTCATACAATTGTTCATCTGGAAGCATTTACTCAATACATCACTATTTTTCTTTTTATCAAACCTTTGAAACCATAGAACAGTCTGATATCAGCAATACGGTTCAGCGGTAAACCCATAGCAATTTGAATTTGGATAGCAGGAATGTTAATGCTGGCAATCATTTCTGTGCAGGGATGCTCTACCTGTCAATAGACACAGTATAATTTATTCGTTTCATGAATCAATGTTACCTGAAGTCTTGGGTTCAACTCAAGGAAGAAGTATTTCTCTTCTTCTGGCAAGTACATGTACTCGACTGTTCCAGCTGATTCATAACCAACTAACTTGGCAATTTTAACGGCATCCTATAGAGAATTGATTTTGAGAAATGTCACTGTTATATTCACTTACTTCTTGCATTCTTCTAAGAATTTCTTGTGGAGCAATGCTAGCAGGAGCTTCTTCAATAATCTTCTGACATCTTCTTTGAATAGAACAATCTCTGGTATACACTGGGATAACGCATCCGTATCTGGAAATAAATGTATGAGTTGTTTTAGAGACAGCCATCTTTTACCTATCGGCTATTAATTGGACTTCGATATGACGAGCATTTTCGACACACTTCATAAGGAAAATGGGAGAACCAGGAACTTCAGCTTGAACTTGAATGAAGTTCTCTCGGAAATCAGCTTCGTTTTTACATTTGCGGATTCCCTTTCCTCCACCACCTTCAGAGGCTTTGATCTAGAATAGAACATTTGGCATTCATTTCTCAACTTTCAGTATTACCATCAAAGGATAACCAATCTTGTTGATTTCCAAAGAGCGCAAGCCCTCGTTGAGGTCAGAAACCGTGGCCAAATTGAAAAGTTGTTGTCCAACAGATACTTCTCCCTCGATGACATTCAAATCGAGCTTCAGTCCATTTCCAGACCATTCAATAGTTGGAATGTCAAGAGTCTAACATAAGTTTGTTTGTTTTATGCTTGTTATTAACAACTGATAAAACCTGTGCAATGATGGTACTGGCAATCTTATCTCCAAGAGAGAACATGGCACTTGATGGAGGTCCAATGAAGCAAATGTCATTTTCAGCTAAACGTCTAGGCAACTCAGGGTTTTCAGATGCATGTCCCCATCCAGCCCATACAGCATCAACCTTTAGAAAATATTATTTATAGGTTATATATGATAATAGCAAACTTACTTTCTCAGAAACAGCATGTGATACGATTTCATCTACATTAGCATAGTTATTCTTATTATCTCCAGCTGGAGCTATGACTATATGATCAGCCATTTTCAGATATTCGGCATTAGAAGCTATTTCTTGTTCTGTGGTCAAACAAATAAATTTTATTATATGATCCTGTCGGAAGTGTTGCATCAAAAATGAACGCATTGACCAGATGCATTTGACAGCAGCAATACCGTTTGTTGAGACAAGAATCTGAATATACCATTATAAAGAGCATAATCAAATAACAATAATACCTTTTTTATAACTCTACGTTTAGATATATCCCTGACCTGGCTTTCTACAAATTTTTCGACTGTCGGCCAAGTTTTATCACCTTGATCAAGCATGTTCTATAAGAATTAGCATATATAATGATATTATCTATATAAAATACCTTCCGTGATCCCTGGTGATATCTCTGAGACATATGTATGATACGTATATCTCTGCCGGCCCCAACAGATCCACCCGTACTGATGGTATTTCCAGACATTTTTAATATTATATCAGAGATATTAGGCTTACGCTAACCCACTTTTTATTAAATTCTAGGTGAATCTGAAAATAATAAAATATAATAGAATGACACGATAATTTTTATGTTATTATCAATAAAGGTGATAAGAACGTCTTGGAACAGATACGAAATGAAAAGACTATCTGAACCATTTTTTCGGCGACAGTGATTACAAGCATAGGGGAAAAGACGAAAAAAAAAGAAAAAAAGAAGAAAAAAAAAGATTAGCAAGAAAAGTACAGAATGAGAAGAAATGAAAAAATACGGATTGCTATATCGAAAGGAAAGGTATGGAATGGGAATGGGTAGCAGTTCAAGGTCAAATCTGATTTTTATCTATTTGAAGTTATATCAGATGAACCCAACGCCCCCTCCGAAATTGTTTAGAACTATTGCGATCAATTAAAGCTCCATAGAAAAGAAATGTGATAATAATAATAAAAATAAATAATAATATGATAGAATAATTGAAATAAAATAAGAATTGAGAGAAAATGAGGAAAAGAACGAATGTTATAAATTAGCTCAATCATTGGTTTTTAATATAAACTATGAAGATGCATACATATGTCTCTGTATGTATACACATAACAAATACATAGTTATATACATAACTATATATATATATATATATATATGATACACATAGTTTTTATATGATACGAATGAACTAGAGGTTAAAGCTGAAGTCTTGAAAAGAAAGTGTTCTTATCAGATTTTACGGCTTAAATGCTATGCATAGGCACCATTGCTTTATCACTTCATCAATCAGCACATATCAGGTGATGCTCAACAGTTTCTATTATTTGTGTGTTATTTGAGGAAAAAATGATGGAAAAGTAATCAATCCCAAAATATTTTAATGTCTTATAACATGGCAAGATCTCTAACATGACCACGATAAGCCATATATGGAATGATTTTTTGTCAACAACACATCACAGATAATACATCTCTTAATACCAGCTACTACTACATAAAATCATTTCTATATTATTATTATTATTATTAATATATAAATATAAATATATAAATAGAAATAGAAGTTAAATGATATTAAGATTGAAACAAATTGAGGAGAGAATTATGAGTCATTGACGTTGTTGGACAAACTTCAACATCAACATTCTTCATCTTCAATTTGCTTCCACCATTACCCATTTAAACAAATATATCGTTTATCATCAAAACACACATGTACTCTTTTAAATAATTAATCAAACAGGTTTTTTCAACAAAAAAAATTTTTTTCATTTCTTTTTTTCATTTTTTGTCTGTCAATTACAAAATAATAATAATAAAAGAAAAAAATGAAATAGTTTTTAGACACAAAAATTGGCGACCCCCACAATCCTCTATTCTACACCCCCCTTTTACAAATGTTATCACCGATGAGTGAACTTTAAATCGAAGATCTGCGTATGGCGCGATTATTTTGCAACTAACACCATTTTTGTGAAGACGAGAAAGAGAGTCAAGAATGGAGGAAGAGACATATAAAATGATATTCCAAGTTAGATAGATAGACAGAGAGAGTTGAAAGACAAAAAAAAAGAGAAATCATTAAGTGATATGGGATGTTTGGAGTGGAGTAAAAAAAAAAGGAAAGTAATAAGAATCTAACGTCACGTACTCTCTCGTACTGTTTCTCTATTTCTGTCATTAGAGCGAGATAAGCTATCAGAATCTTTATATATTATCTTTTAGTAGTAAATGAGGTCGATGAAAAATATATATCAAGAGAAACATTGTCGTTCAGTCAAAAAGAGATATCCTTGGCCTTCAAACGATCTATCATACATTGGGATGAAATGGTCGAATAAGGTCGTATCTCTGAAATCTGATTGCGAATGTAGAAAGGAAATTGTTATTTTACTGAAAAGAAATCTACGTTGACCATCAGAAATAGTATACTTAATAAACAGCACACACACACACACATACATACATACAACACAAGAGTAAGAATTTTTCATAGACGCTTCTAGAAAAGTGATGTCAAGGACATACATATTCAAGAATATATGAAACTTTTCTATGACTAAAACCAGCCCCCCCCTACCTTCTCTCCTATTCTTCCTATCCTTTCCTTCTACTTTTACTAATCTACAGAAATAGTATATTAACTATATATATATATATAGTTAGTATACTATATGAAAGTTATACACATACATATGATATAGAAATAGAAATGACGAAAAAAAAAGAAATGTGATGGTGGTATGTGTTGCGCAGGAGAAGAAGAAGATGATGAAGAAAAAAGAAAAAAAAGGTCTGAATGACTTTTTATTTCTTTCTCCTTCATCACATTTGTTCTGTTCGCTCATTTGATATAGAAGATGAAATCAAGATTTGTTTTACGAATATGTTTTTGTTAGTAAATGAAATATCAAAAATGAAAAGCGATCATTCAATGCTAACGCCAACGCACTTTTCACAGTAAAATATAAACATTATCTGAGATTTTTTTGGTTTTATTACAATATTATAGAAGGGCGTTAGGGATTATAGGCAAAAAATAAGAAAGTATTAAATTATATTTATAATATATATAATTGAAAAACCATTAGAGAGAATATGCGTGTGTGTATGTGTATGTGTATGTATGTGTGTAGGCAGTCAGAGATTCAATAAAGAGATATGAGCTCTTTTTTTTTGATTCTTCTTTACAATCTATTGAGTATATGAAATTGAAAAGAATAGCATTGGATATATGAAAATGAAAGTAACTTGCTCAACCGATAAGTAAACCACAAAGATTAGAAAAAAAAAGAATATGAAAAGCCATTCAATTACTCATATTATACTCTTGAACATGATGAAAATATAAAAAAAATGTGAACAAATGGAAGAGGTGGTGAGGGGTAGGAGGGGGGCCGTCAAAAGTGTTGAGTTGACTCTCTTTTTTTTTTTCTTCTGAATCGTTGAACATATGGTAACAAGCGAGTTGGCTGGCTGCTTTCACAATCGAGAACGAAAAAAAAGAAGGGTGGATATGAAGAAATTGAAAAGCTATATGAGAGAAATCTATGCATTTCAAGATAGATTGTACTTCAATTGTTCTTTTTAGAAAATTGGTTGAGAAAGACCTTGATAACGTTTGAAATTTCTTCTCATTTTTTTTCTCGCCCTGACTACACAAAGATTCGGAAAAAAAAGAAAAAAAACGAGAACGTAACACAAAACCTGTCATAAGTACCTCGTTAACTAATCAACATGGAATAACAAGTAATTTTCATTAACAGAAATTAGATTATAACGAACAAGAACTATAGGAGAGAGAAGTTAAGCGAATTCAACTAGAAACGATAGAATTATACTCGTTCATAAGGCTAACAAGAACATACGTTAGCCTCAAATAGCATCAATTGCTAAAACTAAGAACGTATATCATCAAGTTTGTATTTAATTGAAAATCACAATCTCATTTCAATAAAACAATCACAAAAGAAACAAATGAAGATGATGAAGAAAAAGAAAAAAAAAATATATCGTATGCACGTGACACAAATGAAACAAATGATCGAAACAGATGACAATTAGATACGTTAGATATAACAAAACCATAGATCCAATTATCGATTAGTTCTACTGTCACATACGAGACAGACTCACAAAATCATTCTTTTTTTCTTTCTTTTCTTTCTTTTTTTATTTTCTCAGATGTATGAGGGTGGATGGAGGGAGGCAAGCAAAGTTATCAACATTTTTCGAGGTTTGGCCAGCAATAAAAGATGTAATAAACTATTGACCCAATCGATTGAACTAGAAAACAGATGACACGAGGTGAGGTGGTGGTGGGGGGCAGAAAGAGTTGAAATGAAATGAACTGCAGATATTTAGTGATGTTATAGATCGAATATCCAAGTCGTAGTTTCTCCGATTGAATTTATTTGAAGAAACATCTTCAGAAGCTGAAAGTTGTCATCTACGATATTGAATTGTTGGACAATAAGAACATTTTACTTTTCAACTTCATTATATAATAATATTACATGTAAGTAATAGTAGTTTGATCGAGAGAGTGATTGTCCAGTGATCACCATTCATTACAGATGGTCATTGTGTGAATGTGAGAGAGTAAGAGAGTGTTAGAGAAAGAAAACAAAACAACAAACATGTTTGGATACACACATATGTACATTTGAAATAAATAACAAGAAAAGGGGGGGGGGAGAACAGCAAATGTCTTCAAGGTATAACGTTCTATGTGATTTTTGTGTTATTTCGCTGATGACTGATTGATAACCACACATATAGATAAATATTGAGCGTCTTCTCAAACGTTGAGTGGAGAGTTTATTGTGAACAAACAATGAAACGGTCTGCGCAAATACTGCGATTCATTGGCTTAATGAGTAACACTGAAGGGAAAAAGGAAAAAGAGAAGAAGAAAAAAAGAATTTTTAACTTTGAAAAGCTGGTTCTTGTGTATAGAATGAACTATTGGAAATCAAAATGCATACAACTGGCAGTCCAATGAACTATGGCTCTTCGTGTTCGTCTTTTGTCAATGCTGGTCATGTTTGAAAATAGATGTTCAGAAGAAGAAGAGAATCACAGACATTCAAGAGAGACATATTGAAATATATATTATCCATTTATATATTGGAAAAGCTTGGACATCTCCTTTTTTGTGCATCTAAACATAAGTTTTAAGTTTCTCTCTATATGAAGAGAGAGAGAGAGAGAGAGGAACATATGAAAAGGCTTCTAAAACTATATTATACTATTGAATACCTGTTGCTGAAGTATGCAATTGTCTCATTTGTTATTAACCTCCTTTATGAATAATTATGAATGTCGTCTGCTTTGATCTTCTTCGTCCCGTTCATTTTCGTCTCTCTCTTCCATTGCCCCTCAAACAATAAAAATGAATTTCGCTTTAAACAATATAAAAAAATAACTGAATATATCTTCTTTTTAGAATTATTCAATTTATCTAAATAAAAAAAAAGAGAAGAGAATGAAGAAAAACAACAACTGCTGCTGACATTTTGTCATTTCCATTCGTTTCCTAATGACAACTGAACGTTACATTCCTAATTACCACGAAATTATGCTTTGCGTTTGTTGCTCATGCTCATTGAGCCGGAACGACATGCATATAAACCCTCAAATCACTAAAATCTCATTCAGTCTTTGATTATTAAAAAGTTTCGCCAGTTTTACTCACCACAACCCTTTCCCAAACTCTTCCAACATTTCCATTCTTTTTTTCGTTGAGATTCTGAAGAATCTAGATTTTTTAAATTTCTAATTCGTAGTTTCTTCTGTTTCATTCCTATCTTACAGTTCCATGGTACTTATGTCTCAAAAAACATTAGCCATTTTCCTCATATTCGTATTGGCGCTAGGAAATGCTAGCATGAGGTAATCATATTGTTAATATATAGATGATTAGCTATATATCAACGAAATTCTATATGTTTTCTGAACAATACATTAGTCTTCTTCCTCAATCGAATTTTAGGATTCGTGAGAGAAAAGCGATGCGCAATTCATTGGTACGATTCGGAAAACGAGCTGGTCAACAAAATGAAATGATGCTGGAGAATATTGGTTTACTCTTCAATCATATACCACTGAAATAATTTGAATATTAAAAATTGCAGGAATTATTTGCAATGGAAAAAGTCCATGTCAACCCAACACAAAAGACCAATACGAACCAATCAACTTGCCCTTTGCCATGGATCTCCAGCCGAAAAATGTGTTACCATATCGAAATAATCTTTTTTAATTTGTCCATTCGAAGTATTTTTGGAGTAATAAAATTTGAATTTTATTTTCTCTACGAAAAATTACAAAAAAAGTACAAAAGAGTTAAACTAGCTAGTGCATGTCTCACATGAACGGAAACATATAAAAATTATTTTTTTTTAGCTTTTTTCTAAAATATTATTCATCAATGTCGGTGTTCTCCTCAGCTTCAGCATGATAAGTTGAGGAATGCTTTGCTAAGATTCTAAGTAGAGGTCGGAGCTTCAACCACCATTGTTCTTTTGGAAGACGATGTTCGAAATCTGTCTCTTCAGCTAGCTCTTCTACAGGCGTGAAAACCTACAAACATCCAGGAACCTTTTTTATTTTTTTACGTCAAGAAACTTACAACACTGC